AGCAGGAAGACCCTTAACATTAAAACAATTCCCAAGCAGCCAGTCCTGGGATATCCTGGGACCCAACTTGTGACTTCCGGAAATACTACAGAGCGTTCTTATCCTTGCAGGAAAGTCCTTCCAGGGAAACGGAGCTGCTTACAGAAGAACGAGCTAGCCAGAGGGGTGGTGTCATGGACAACATACTCTTTTTCCATACTTTTATTTTGTTCTACAAATACAGTACAAAAATAGAGTTCTTTCTGAACATAATTAAATGTAAGCCATTTTCTCGCATTTCAACCTCTCCTCTGTGACAATGTCTAGCAATGACTAGACTGTACTCCCCTCTATTTTTGAAGAGACAGTGTCAGTGTAATTTAGTTATAAAAATACTGCAAAAGACAGATCAGCATTTCTATTACAAAACTGCAGGAAAAGCTTATGTAGATTTAACGTTCCTCTCAACAGTTTTTAAATGCTTAGGTACTGTGTAACATTTACAGGAGCTCTATGCTTGCAGTGAATTTCATTTCTGACCACAACAGGCAACCGGTTTCACACGTTTTGCTCCAGAAAATAACCACATGGTCTTGGTAAAACTGAAACGAGTGTGTATATATTCAGATTACTTAAGAAGACATATTTAACCTTACATTTGAAGTGAGGACAGTGCTTCTCCCTTCTAATGCACAAGAAAGTAAAGGAAGATTGTAAGCTGAAAAGCCAAAAATCGAGTTTTCACAAAAGGCAGGGATTCTTTAAGAAGTAAATTTTCAGATTCATCCAAAGCTTGATGGCATGCTTCTTTACACCTCAGAGGAAGTATTTCCCCTTCTGCGATGATGAGACAGTAAGACCAGAACTCTACCTCACCACTGATTTTGATAAAATATGAATCAAAGAAGGGGTCAGGCAGTCCTTTGGCCAGCTCACTGCAGACTGTCAAACAGCAGCTGCATGGTTTAGTCCTGAGCAAGCAGGAAAAAATGGAAAGGAAGAAAACGGGAAAAGAAAGCGTTAATGAAAGGAATGTCTGAGAAAACAGAATTATTAGTGCTCAGTGATACAAAAGACAGCAAGAAACCCCAACAGCACAAAGTGGTCTTCTCAGAAGGTACAACAGCACATCTGCTTCTCCTAAGTCCAAGGATAAAAGGATGAATCTAATTACCTGTGACAGCAAAAGAATCTCTTGGTACTGAATTAGGTGGATCCCTGATAGCTCAGAAACACAAGTGCACAAGAAGGCTAAGTCCTTAACTGGCAAAGGCTACTTTTGTTGTGACTATTGTTCTTGCATCTGGAAACAGCAAAGAAATGCTTGTTCTGATCACAGTTTCTCAAAAGGGAACAACTGTGCTGCTTCTCCTTTCTTTTCTCGCTTGCTCTTTCTGGTTGTCATCTCTTCTTTCTTCTTCTCTAACTGGCGATTTTGGGGCCAAGAAATGGCCACATTCCCTACCACAGTCTCTGAACTTGGACCTCCTTCTTCATCAGAAGAGAATCCCGCTCCTTTCTGTGTCTCAGGTGCTGACGGCTCAGTCTGGAAAAAAACAGGTGTGGAAACTGAAAAGCTGCTCTAGAAATCACCCTTTCTAGAAGGGCTCAGCTTCTGTCACAGTGACACTTAATGACATTACAAAAGTTGGCCGCTCTGCTTTGGGATTCTCACTCAAAGCAGTGTGTTTCTAGTCCTGGATGTCAAGCAGTCTTTCAACATAAGCAAAAGATTCTTGGCTGGGAGAATAAAAATAAACCTGCTTTAAAAAGATCACGTTTTTCACCTTTCTCAGTGGGGAAAAGATTAAGAACTAAACCATCTGACTTCATAACAAAACACAGCCCCTACTCATCCTGTTAGCTACATGCTGGGCTTGGAGGAGGAAATCTAGGGAAGGGGTGTGTCAAGCCAGAAAATAATACCAAAAAAATGACTTTGGGAAACATTAATCTCTTGTTAAACAGTAATGACGCTTTCATGGACATGACCACATTGAATTTCTGGTGTAGTTTTTTTTTTTTTACTAGTTGCTAGTCACATGCTAACAACAGGAAAGAAAAAGATTTTTGAGCAACTGCACTCTGGAAGTTCTACAGTCTACAGCTGTGAACAGAACACATTGGCAATTCTGGAAAAAAGTGCCTTGGTAGAGAAATATCATCCTGAAAAAGAAATCATTAATAGAAATGCAGAATACCTTGACGGAGTAGCGTTGCTTCAGTCTCTCTCTGATAAGAAGTCCTTTTGTCAGCAGCTTCCAATTCCCCAGAGCTCTTTTCTCACGCTTCTGTGTGGGATTGTTATTGAAAAGAGAAAATTTACTATTGTAAGTTTCAATGTATTTACGCCCACAGAAAACAGAAGTTTGAAGATTTTAAACTGCTGTTAAAAAAAAACCAAGCCAACTTAAATGTGTCATATTAAAAGATTATAGGCCAGTAGGATTCTTAAGAGTAAAATGTATTGGTGTCCAATTATCTGCTAAGTACATGAATTACTGTCACTTTCTAATGTGCACCTTGATTGTGTAAATTACACAGAACCACCTCCAATACTTTAACCTCCTATGTGTATTCCTCATTTTTGTTTCCCAGCAGCCACGGAAAACTGTTCCAGAGCATGTACTGTTTCAGATCTTGCTATCCCCTGTATTGTGTCCCACTGCAATCTGGACAGCAAGCCCATTTGGAGGATGCAACTACCTCCTCACAGTTACAGAGCTCCGTGTCTGTTACTCACAGCACCCACCCTTGTTTGACTGTCCACAGTTTCAATGAAATTTACTTAATAAACGTAACAATAAGGAAGGTGCAAAAGCAATTCCAACCTCCTTCTCCTTCTTTTCTATTTCTGCTTGTTCATTCTCCCAGGCAGCAATGAGGACCTCTTTATACTCCTCACAGACAACGTAGCCATCAGTACTAGGAAGGAGAACACAATCCTCTGTCAGCTACTAGAAGAAAAAAGAAAGGGAGCAAACGCCTGCTGACCCAGCGAAACCCAAAGCAGGCTGCTGAATACTGACAGAGCCATCTGTCTGTCTCATAGGATCTAAGTTCTATCACCACCTCTCCTCCTCACACAAGTGCAGACCCTTAAAGCATACAAAGTCACTCCTGTATGCCAGGGCCAGTGACCCCACTGCCACTACTAGCACAAGAGGAGGGTGTGTACTCCTTAACACAGGGTA